GTGATGGGTGGATTATCGGGATTTACTTTCTCAGTGGGTTGCGGTACGCGAGATGATCGTCGAGGAATAATCGGTGGAGGTACCACAGCCGGTTGCGGGATATCGGGGTAGGGGGGTTCCTCTCTTGGTGCATCTGCAATCATGGGTTGAACGACCGGCATGAAATCTTCATCGTCATCCCAAGCAAATGGTTCCGCTGTAGCACTGTCTCGAATTTGATTGAGCGTGAGGGGTTCATCCGCCGCTGGATTATCGGGGATATCGGGAGTTGGAGGGGGATGTCCGTCATGGCTCTCAAGGAACCGGACGTGGTATGTACTATAGATGTTCCCAGATTGTCTGTCGTAGCAGCGGTACTCCTTTGCTTTCGGATTGTAGCCTATCAGGATGCATTCAATGGAACGCTCGTAGATCTTGGGATTGTGCTTGTTCTGGATGAGAACGAAGGCTTTACAGCCGATTTCGCGCATGTAGGAGTAGTCGGGTTTGCGCTCGTGCCATAGCTCATAAGGTGTTAGTCCTTTCAACGATTTTGTGGGTGTCTTTTCATGGAGGTGACAGGCGGTTAGATAGAACTCGAGCCACATATTTGGGGGGCAACCTGCTGAGATTCGCATGGCGCGTCCCTTGTTCATGAGCGTCCTGTGCATCCGCTCGACTCGCCCAATGTGCGCGGAGGTATATGGAGCGCTGTACTGTTGGTCTGTACCCGTGGATTTCAACCAGTTGTCCATCTGGTGTCCAGCGAGTTCCCCATCATGGCCTGTGCGATATATCCCGACTTTCAGTCCAGTCTCTACCTCGCGTGCTCGTTCCCATGCCTTCAGCTCTCCAAGTGCATCGCTCTTGAGTTTAAGTGGAATCGACCAAGGTTTGTTGGAATAATCGTCCACTAAATTCATGATGTATCTAAAACCTTCGCGCGATTGGACAGGAGATGGTCCCGTAAGATCTACCCATATAATTCCCAACCTCCTTGTCACTCGATGCCCTGGCCCCTCCTCACGCGTCTTTGGAACCGGCGTCTTGGTCTGTTTTCCAAGAATGCAAGATTCACATTTCGGCGGTAAATGAGGGAAGGAGGGGGGCATACCTGCGACGAAGCCGGATTTTGCCATGTCCCTGAGCGTCTGGAAGTTGGGATGACCGAGACGGCGATGCCAAGTCATCAGGTCGGGCGCGTGTTGGGCAGCTAAGGTGTAATCGGCGTTGGTAGGTTGGATGTTAAGGGCATAGAGGCGGTTGGGTAGAAGCGGTCCGCCGACGATGAATTCGCCGGTAGATTTATTATAGATCTTAAGTCCGTTTGCGTCGAAGTGGGAGATGGTATCGGAGTCGATAGATAAGGCGCTGACTGAGATGAGGCGCACAGTGGCGGTGGGAGTGTAGAGAGCATTGTGGAGTTCGAGGAATTTGCCTCCGGCTATGCGTAGGCGCATGGTTCCCATCCCGATCGCCGGGAGAGATGAACCCCCAACACCTCCTATGAATCGGGTATCGATGGGTTTGAGGTGTATGAAGTCGTTTCGGTCCATAGATATGCAGACCGAAGCGCCTGTATCGGCGTAGAAGGGGTAGTCCCTGGTGGAAACGGCAACTTGTTGGGATTGTGTGAATGAAGGCACGATGGCTAGGACGGGGTCGCTGACGGCTGCCGTGATCCACGCGACTTCTCTAGGAATGGGGGTGGATGCGAGGCCGGCGAACTCTTTCTTCGCGCCCTTGGTGATAAGTTCCTGAATCTCGCTGGGATCGACTTGCGCGATGTGCGCCTTCCCGTTGATGGTAAATGGGACCGAGATCTTGCCCGATGCGGAGGTGGCTGATGGCTTCGCGGGTCCATTTCCTATCTGAGATCCAGATGCGGCGCGTCTAGCCACGACTGATTCCGCAATCGTCTTCCCTTCCATTCCTCCTCCTTTGCGGATACACCACTTCCTCTTGTGTCCCCTGCACGGTTTCCCAGCCGCGTAGCATGTCTCGCAACATAAGTCATGGGGGCCGTGGTTATGGCCGCCAGCCTTCGCCGAAAGCGCAATATCACGCGTGTTAGAGCTCTTCTTCCCAGAGAGAAGTGTTTGTTCGCTCTCGAGGACACGACGCATCTTCGTCGATGTGTAAGGATCGTCGGCGGGGGCGTCTGAGATAGCGCGGGATAGTTGGGATTGGACGCTTTCAAACTCGCGGCTGTTGAGACTGTTGAGGAGGGATATGCATTTAAACAGATCCCTGGTGATCTCCCCCATGTCGAACGCGCGGTCGATGACGTCGCAAATGTATTTCGAGGTGGTCTCCAGTGGTTCCGATGTGGAACAGTAAGTGGATAAGGCTTCGTGTATTAATGCGATCTGTTTGACGGGACCGGCGCTCTGGCAGTGGTCCTTGATAGCGTTATAGGATCTCTGCGCGCCTCCTTTCTGATCAATGAATTCGAGCTCGGATCGCCCGACAGCTTGGGAGAGAGCGGCAACTGCAATGGCGCAGTTAGCAGACCAGTTTGAGAAGGCACGAGGTTCCGCGACGACGTTGGGACAGCGGGCGTAAGTGGCGTCTTGGAAGATGTAACCGGTAAGGTGATTCAGCGTCGCGAAGTTCCAGAAGTCGCGCTCCCATTCCTTCCAGTTGCCCTTGTCTCTTTCCAATTTGTCGCCACTGAAAGGTGTGCGAATAAACAGCAGGGGGATTGAAGGATGTGTCGCGTCGTTGGGATTAAGTTTGGGGGTGGATGGTGGGGGGGGACTTTCGTTGGTACCTTCGGGAGCCATTGCGATGAAGTGTCAAGCTTTCTGAGAAGACAAAGAAACTTTGTGTAGATGGAAGTGGCGGGGGCACGTGTTTCGAAAAGATAACGTCGTGCTGATAAGATTGTGATCCGGGTCGGAGTGACGATCCCGATATTCGGTATAGAGTCGATGTACTGCCACTAGAGTGTGCAGCAATAGCCCATAACCTGTTAGAATCTATACCGTAGTGTAAAGTCTATGATCAGACTAAGTGATAAGGAAGAATAAACCTCAGTCCGGTATAAGTGACTTTATTGATAAGATCATACCTAAGTGATAAGGAAGAATAAACTACGGTATGATTAGTAAAGGTAAGTGTGTGTGATAAGAGAAAGTGGCTCACCCTCAGTCCGGTATAAGTGACTGAGGGTGCCCGAGTATGTACAGTAGGTATATATATGTAGATGTGAGATAAAGAGACCTTTATGTTCTGTATGATAAAGAGACAGTGATAAGCGACACTCACAAAGGGTGTTTGCGGTGTCTCAATTCCTAACAAGACCAGCAACTGCAAACATGCAACGAGATCAGTAAAATGTCTCAACTCAACGAGACACGATCGAAACGAAATTCACTGCATTTTAAGGCAAATAACGAACAATTCGAACTCACCATAAGGAGCGATAGCAACACCCTCAAACACCTTGAATCCATCTGCGTCCTCCAATGCCGTGATCTTTCCATAAGGGGACTTTCACAAGAACTCGGGCTTCTTGTTATCAACGTAGCGCTTGAACTCAGCAGGTAGCTCGAGGGAGGTGACGTCGCGAAGAGCAGCGACGGCCCTAAGCCAGGTGAAGTGAGCACTCACCGCCGATGGTTGAAAATGAGCAGGTTAGCCAGCCAATGCAAATCCTGTGTTACAGTGTTGACGCGAAAACGAAACCGTAAGGTCGAGTAAAGCGTAGATTTCGGAGAAAGTCAGGAAATGAATGAGGTTATGCACCGTATAAAAGGCATCTTACCGTCAATAACATCTGTACCTCAGGGAAGCAAGAGAACACAAGGAGCATGGTGTTGAATACCAATGTTCATGGCTTCGACGCGGTGTTTGAGAAATGGGTGATGGTGTTCGAGAGCAGTTCAGGATTGAGACCAGCAGCGATATTCAATTTCAAAAACCGTCGTTCCAGACATTCGTTAAAGTTATGGATCTCGTAAAATGCAGGCAGGAAGGCCGCATAGGTGGACAATAGGAGGATTAAATTTAGAACAAAGGTGTCACGAGACAAGCAGAAACGTGGCGACAAAAATTGATGGCGAACGTGACCTGTTCTGGGGGGTAAAACCTACTACTAAAGTAGCAGGAACTAAAGTAGCAGGTACACCTCTCCTGGAGTCCGAGTGTACACTGCCTCTACTGTCGACTACATCTTAGTCTATCCATTCTGCGCCGTGCCCTTGCCCAGAGATACGCCTCTTCATGCGCGCTGGTTTTATTTGACGACGACTGTGGTATTTCTACTCGCGAAATGCCCGCTGATCTTCTGACTGCTCTTTCATCATCTCTCCAATCCCGCGTTACATGCCAATCAGCTGCACCTACTCGTCGTACACTGATCATTCTCAGAAGACTTCACGTCCTCGTCGTACCCTGATCATTCTCAAAAGGTTCATCGAGCAAGTAAAGTGTCTATCAAGTTTCTAAAGTGTTCATTGCATATCCATATCCACTCAGCGCAGAGCCTTCGATGGGTTGACACCTATGCGCTATTTCAGGATCGATCAACGGGCCCAAGCGGCTCAGTGACCTGGCTTTCTTCAGGGTTAGCTCAGGTGCTGGCACCACGAAACGCTCCGAGCTCGGTTGGGGACATTATACGAGAGGTAACAGGTGTCCTCGCGCTATTTGCCTTCCTCGCCCTCTTCTTCCTATTCCGGTAATGCCTCTTCAGCGTGATCCGTCGCTTGATGCCTCTGTGGCTCGAAACCCATCCGCACGAGGTGAATTTATTGCATTTTCGTTGTTGTTCATTCTTAAATACTAGTACGACTGCGTTGGCTGCGACTTTATGTTCGTATGAGTTAAAGGGATTCAGCCGGATTGAGGATAGGGCGGCACCGAATCTGGGATTGTTAGTTGATGGTATGGCTCCCGCTCACGAAATTGAGTAGGAATGGTTGGCATGGCCGCAAAGGACAAGAGGATGGGCCTTGAGAATTCGACAGACCATGATTCTACAGGTGTTAACTTGGATGCTTCTCTGATCATGACAAGCATTAATGGGGTAGTGGTAACCTGGGTCGTTGCCATGAAGGAAACTTTGAACTATCCAACTGGATCGACCCGCCGGGGGTTCGATTCCCTCTTAATGCAACCACGCACTGCAGTAGTTTTTTAGCATTGGTAAGCGGGATAGCTGCATCATGCCTGCATGACATGAGAACTGCTCTGATTCCTAAATCCTTCAAGTTTGACAGCCTAGTAAGTTGTAACTTGTAGTACGCGTGTGAGTGAAGGACACCATGTGTTTAAATTTTGTCCTCATTCATGGGCTAGTATTTCTAGCAAAGTAACATATGCAGCATGTATCTAGCTAATCATGGACATCAGCGAGGATGATTGGGCGATCTAATCTAATCTGTTTATTGGCTCTAAATGTCACGTCAGTGAAATTGACATCTTCTTGCAAGCTGCTATCTGCGTCCATCAATCGTCGGGATCGCACTACTGGACGGTGAATATTCCCAGTGGTCGAGCGCAAAATGCCCGACCCGCTCTTTCCACTCTCTTTCCTGTTCTCATCATTGTGTTTCTCGGGCAGGCAAGGCGACCATTGATCGTCATCGTCATCAGTGGCGATACCCTCTTGGCCTCCAGTTGTAGTTTCATCTTCAACCCAAGCACGCCCAGCCCACTCCGCACACGTTACACCCTACGTAGCACCCTCGCCCCGGCCGGCATACACGGTGCGTATGCCCCGTTTCCATGACTCCCACTTCCGGAGATACTAACCGATGACCCGCAGCGCAGTCCTTGACCAGCGACGCCCACCATGTCCACCCCCCTGCGCACAAAACGCAACTTCAAGTCCCTCCAGCTCCCCGTCGACGACCCCATCGACCCCGCCCCCACCCCCGCCCCCTTACCCGTCCCCACCCGCCTCGCCCCCGCCGGCCCCCAGCCGCAGCCCAACAAACGCCGCCCCCCGCCCCTCGGCGACGCCCCGCCCGTCCAAGGCTTCCTCTCCCCCTCCGGCCCAGGCCTCGACTCCGCCATCGGCTCCGGCGTCGGGAGCGGCCGGCACAGCGCCCTCCACGCGACCCTCGCGAAGATGGAGCTGCATGCGCCGTCGGTGGAGATTAGCGACCTTAAGAATGCGGATCTGAGGAATATGGCGGAGCTGGGGCAGGGGAATGGGGGGAGCGTGATGAAGGTGGAGCATGTGCCTAGTGGGACTGTCATGGCCAAGAAGGTGTGTCTCCTTCTCCAGTTGTAACTTGGGTTGGGTTGGGGCATGGAAGCTGATGGTGGTATAGATCGTCCTCATCGACGCGAAACCCTCAGTACGCAAGCAAATCCTGCGCGAGCTCCAAATCATGCACTCCTGCAAATCGCCCTACATCGTCTCCTCCTACGGCGCCTTCCTCGCCGAGCCCAACATCTGCATCTGCATGGAGTTCATGGACAAGGGCTCCTTCGACGGGATCTACAAGAACATCGGCGCCATCGACATCGAGGTCGTGAGGCAGGTCGCGCATGCGGTGCTGGAGGGGCTGATGTATTTGTATGACGTGCACCGGATTATACACCGCGACATCAAGCCGTCGAATATATTGTGTAACTCGCAGGGCCAGATCAAGCTGTGCGACTTTGGCGTGTCGGGCGAGCTGATCAACTCTATCGCGCATACGTTCGTCGGGACCTCTATATACATGTCTGTGCGTGCCCCTCCCTCCCTCCCTCCCTCCCTTCCTTATAGAACTAACACACACCCGATTTGTAACAGCCCGAACGCATCCAAGGCGCCGAATACTCCGTCAAATCCGACGTCTGGTCCCTCGGCATCTCCCTCATCGAGCTCGCCCTCGGCCGCTTCCCCTTCTCCGACCCCGACGACTCCGACGACTCCGACCTCGACTCCTTCCCCCCGCACTCCTCCCACACCGACCTCTCCAAAACAGCTACCCACCGCGACTCTCTCCTCCCTCCTCCCTCCTCCTCCACCTCCTCAACCACCTCCTCCCCAAATTCTGGTAAAACAGCGCGAAGAAGGAGTGGGGGGAAGAGAAAGAGCAGGGGGGTGAGCCTGCACGGGGAGGGCATGACGATGTCGATTATCGAGCTGATGCACCAGATTGTGAAGGAGCCGGCGCCGAGGCTGGGCCCGGAGGGGCGGTTTGGGAGGGAGGAGGAGGAGTTTGTGGATGCGTGTTTGGAGAAGGATCCGGAGGTGAGGAGGACGCCGAAGGAGCTTTTGGTGCGTGTCTCTCTTTCTTTCTTTATTGAGGATTGTTGGGGATCGGTGGGGGTGTGAGGATTTTGGGTTGGAGCTGACGTTTTTTTTTGGTTGTAGGCGTTTGCGTGGATGGATCGGGCGAGGGAGAGTACCTTTGATCTCAGGGAGTGGGCTGGGACGTTCTGAGGTGCGGGTGTCGTTTGGGAGGGTGTCGATGTATGTGGATGGCATGTATATCTGGCTCAGGATATACCACGTATTGTGTATTGTATATAATTACCCCGAATTTCTGATATCATGGATGGAGCTCGGACGGTTTCGCTTCGGCTTCAGTATTGCGACGTCACTCGAAGTTACTGATAATGAGTTGGAAGGGGCTTATGCGGAGTCCATGTACATATGAACTTGGATATATATGGCCAGAGGTCAATGGAGCCCTGGATGCGGTCACTGGTGTCGTTCACTCATGCAGGCTGTCAAAGGCTGAAGGATAATCGATAACCATGGATCGCGAGCTAAAAAAGAGTTAAGCTGGTCCAACCATGGCGAGACCTGTTGAAAGTCCCGACGGTGGTTCGAACACCGGACCCTGCGATGAAGCCATGAAACATGATCATGTATGACTGCAATCGCATGCTATACCACTTAGCTATCGAGACTGGTACCCGTGGAGGGGCTTGGTCGGTTCGGTACGTGAGGACTTCGGTCTCCATTTGCACTTCGCTTGTTCTATGCAGGGTCATCTAGGGCACCCGGAGGCGGCAGGTGAAGAGATATTGAGAGTGTCGTCGGCCTGGGGCTGACTCCTGAGCTTGGGGATCAGCGGGGGTTCTTGATTGGTACCACCTATTACGGGGGGGCTTTGCGTGCTCGGTGTGGTTTCTGGTCTACAGAGCCGACAGGAACCATCGATTAATCGTCAGTCCTGCCCAGTGCGGGTGCGTGAGCTCTCAAGCCCCGCAGCTAACTATCCCGGCTGCCTATGCTTTTTAAAAAAGGGTTTGAGTATGTTGTCTCATTGCATTAAGAGGGAATCGAACCCCCGGCGGGTCGAGTCAGTAGTACGTGCAACCAATGGCAACGACCCAGGTTACCACTACCCCATTAATGCTTGTTGGATCAACGTACCAACTAAACACCTGTAGAACTACTTAGAGCGTCTCGTCCTCTCGTCCTTCTCATCCTTTGCATCCAGTCCAACCATGACTACTCAACTTCCTGAGCGGGAGCCATACCGGCGACCAGCGATCTTAGATTCGGTGCAGCGCTACCCATAGTTCGGCTGGATCCGTTCAACAACTCATATGATACCTGTCCTGGCTCCTCCATTGAAAGTCACACTAGCGGCACCCTATCCGCTAAATGAGCAGGCACGGTAGTGCTTTCGTGCCGAAACGCACCGACAAAACAATGGGAATCGGGTTTTGAACCGCCAGATGATGGTGGTTCAGGTTCAAGGAGCCCCCCCGATTTGGAGAAGATCCATATCACTGGCGCGACGACAGGCGTGCCATCATGTGCACATGTAGTGGTTGATGGAGCATTGGAATAACTAGCGATGAGTAGCTCGATGCAAGAGTGGCCGACGATGCTTCAACACCATCATCTCCATCTCGTCCTCTTCATCTGCTCTTTTCTCCCCTCGCTTACCACCTCCCAATGGGCTGACAACCACTACGCAGGTACTCAATACATCTTCTACAACGGTACCATCTCCGGCCGCTTCGTCCATCCTCCCGGCCAGTCAAGCTGTCCTGACTACCACCTCGGTCCCCATGCACTCACCTCTCTCTTTGTCGGAGTCAACCCTCCCTGGGATGCTAATCCCTTCTTCTTCGACCTCTACCACATCTCCTCTACAGAAAGCATTCTATACACCTACGACTCAATATACAACCTGGAATTCACCACCGCCGCGTACGTCTGTAGGAAATATGGTCAGCCATGTGGAGACGTCGAGTTCATGCCGTTTTATTTTCTGCCGGTGGAGATGGTGAATTTGAAAGACGCGAAGGTGGAGAGAGTGACCGTGGGTGCGGAAACGGGATATCGTGTGAGGGGCGACGAGAAGACTTGGGTTGGCAATGGGACGGTTAACGATGACCTCGAAGTCACGATACCCTTGATGTTACAGAGCAGGATGAGTGTACGGGCAGCCTACATTATACGTGGTACGTTGGTCGCAATTCCCCATCTCGATCACCTCTCTTTCTCAATCCTGAATACATACGAAAGAGCCTAAACTAACCAGGTAACGCCCTGCTCAGGAACTCATCCATACCATTCACATACGACATGACATTTTCCAACACCACCGCTTCCGCGACCTTCTTCCTCAATGCCCCATACGGCGCCCTGACCCTCCAGTTCTCTGGCGATCGAGCAGACATTCGACCGCATAAATCGCCGTTCCCTGCCATCGGATTAGACACTTCCGATCCGAGTAAACCGTCTTTTACATACTCGAATGGGACCGCCTTCTCATTCGTCAATGACCCGTATGATGGGCGGTGGTACGCTACAGCGCCGCGGCCTTCCGCCACAGCGTCTTCTTCCGCTCCAGCGTCTCAGTCTTCCCAAGACAACGCGGCAGTGAATGGGAGTGCACGGTACTCGATGGTTTGTTGGGCGTTTGGGGTCACCACTTTGGTTGCCTTTGTTGTTTAAGGAGCGACGTCAATTTCCTTGGATGCTCTATCCGTCTGGTGTTTCCTTGTCGGCGCGATTTCCGCTTCACGACCTTTTATGACTGGCACTTCTCAGTGTTCTCATGTTGATGAATGATCAACCATCGACTTTATATTACAAAATGCAATAAATTCACCTCGTGCGGATGGCTGCTGCCCCAGAGAGACATCGAGCGATGAATCGCACTCGAAGAGGCGTTTTTCCCTGGGAAGTATGTATCCAGACCTTTCCGAACACCAGTTCAGCCAGTAAGGTCAAGTTACGATGCAGTGATGCTAACAAGGTCATGGAGTCTCTGGACGGCCTAATTGATGTTACCGCTGAACAACGAAGAAGTCCTCGGTTCACAACCAATAAGTAAGGAGTGGGAACTATAATACCATTCGTTAACTTGCCCAATACATATGAAATACAATACAACAGATCCTTCCCCGCCTGACCAACATACACTGACAGTTCTACACAGCAAACACCTCCGTATGCAACCCCACCTCCCTCCCCCTCGCCTTACACCCCGCAACAGCATTCGCCGCCTCCCGCGTCAACCCCTCCGGCCCACTCGCACACACCGCCAGCCTCCCCCCAAGCTCAAACCTCCCCCCTCCCTCCCTCCCCTGTTCCTGTTTCTCCACATCCCCCGCTCCCTCCTGCTCATCAACACACCCACACCCACACAGCTCCTCCTCACTCCCCCCCACGCTCTTCCCCCCCACATCATCATCATCGAGACAAAGCCCCGCCATCCCCCTTACGAGCCTCCCCATCTCCGGCCTCCCCCCAACGCGCACCTCCAGCCCCGGAATCCCCACCTCCTCAGGGGAACACATGCACGTCACATACACCGTCATCCGGAGGGCCACCATCGATCCCGGGGCGGATGCGGCGAGCGCGAGGGCGCGCAGGAGCGGGGCGAACCATTTGATGGAGCCGAAGGATCGTGTGCACCATACGAAATGTACCGTCCTCGTCTTGACACTACGAGTCTTGCCGGTCCGAGCAGCAGCAGCGACGATCGAATCCATCAGCCCCACCGCAAACGTCGCCCCGCTCCCACCCGCTACCAATAGCACCCGCTCATACTCCCCCAGCTTCAGCGAACACCCGCCATACGGGCCGTCGAACATCACTTGCACCGGTATGGGTACAGGCTTTCTATTTCTGGGGACGGCGATGAGCCCAGAAGACGATGGGCCCTCTTCTCCTTCTCCTTCCGCACTCGTGGATTCGGTTTCTTTGAACGCCTCCTCCTCCTGCTTCGCAGCGTACTCGTTAAGCGCCCTAGTCCAATCACCCACCACCCTAGCCCCGAGCAACACCCCCGGCCTCTCCCCCGCCCTCACCAAGTCTCTCCCCCCCTCCTCATAACAAGAATACCCCGCCACGTCCCCCGCGCTTAGGCACGTCGTTTCGCTCCCAGACGCGGACGGAGCGCACATAACACTAAGCGGATGCGCTTCGAACGCCCGTCCCCCAAAGAACACGCGCACGCGGAGGTGCTGCCCCGCGCGGAAGCCGGCGTCGCAGTCTGGTATATGTATCTTTAGGGTAAAAAAGGTTCACCTAAGGCTGCAGGCGAGATTTTGAGGGCAGGACGAAAAACGCACGAGAGTCATCTGATTATCCACCCTAATAAGCTGCGCGTCCTTCAACCTGAACCGACCCGCCCGCATCAAGATATCGAACGCATATATCGCAATAGGCGGGAATATCCACGGCGCCGCATATATCGTATGATAGCACACCGTGATAAAGAACGCCGGGACAGCCAAGAAGCTACCCAACCATCCCCATCAGCCCCATATCCACCACAATGAACGAAAGCGACGAAGAGAACTCACTGGACCCAATAAAACACCCCCCACGCCCACACCCTCACCGGCCTCAAACTACTAACAACAATCACCCCCATCACCCCCAGCGCCGCCACCCCACTCCCCTCCTTCTGCTGCCCCAAAATAGGCATATCCCACTCCAAATGGTTCCGAATCCACAGCGCCCCATGCACCAGCGCCGCCAGCCCCATCGTCCTTCCAGCCCAGCGGTGCAGGGCGTTAAGCCGGGTGTACGCGAAGAACGGCGGGAGGAGGAGGGAGAGCGGGGTGTTCTTGGAGGCGAGGAGGAAGACGGGGGGGAGCTGGGCGAGGGCGAGGAAGCCGGCGCGGTTGGAGTTGGAGAGGAGGGGGGCGGAGGTACAGATGCAGGCTAGGACGGTGGAGGAGTAGGCTGTGATTAAGAGGACTGCGGAGGAGAGGTTAGGATTGGAGCACGAAGAAGGGAGGGGGGAGAACGTACTTTGACCAGCGTTGAGCCCGATGCCGGGTGGTGTCCAGTAGATCACCGAGCCCAGCGCTGAGAGGACCCTCGCAAGGATGACATGGCTATTCCGCCTCTGCGGCACCTGCTGTAGTTCAGAGATACTGTGTACCCTCCCGCAGCATGATTTCCTCTCCTTCTCTGGTGTATCCAACTCTTCCGTCGGCTTATCGTCAAGGCGAGTATAACGGCCCCGCCAGTCCTCACTAACGCCAAAGACCTCCGATGCCCATTTTCTCCGGGTGCTAAGAATGGCAGGGAGTGCAATCAGCACGAAGACAGCCAGCGCAGAAGTCCAGGCGATGGTGAACTTGATCTGCCATTTCGGATCCTCGACATAAGAGCTACATCGTGGGATCAGCTTCTTGTATCAAGTGGAAGAGATATAGACGGAAAGGGCGTACTTGTATTGCTGAAGCTCGGTGGGGATGACCGGGGGGGCTCCTGTATCTGCCATCAGAGGGAGGAGAGGTGAGGAGAGGGAGAGGGAGATGGTCAGCGAGTAAGCAGGACAACAAGAGTCGTTAGGCGAGGAGAAGTCTTGTTGGGTGCACAAGCCACACCGGCTATGAGGGCCGTGGGACATCAAGCAAAAATAAAGATTAAGATAATGGCATTGCAAATAAAGACAAATACAGTGGGAATTCGTTCCACAAAACGTTCCTCTGGCACAGGACACCTCGGGATGGAGGCGTAAGGAGCAGAGGCTGAGAGGAGTATGGGTGCGCGGGTGTGAATTCGATGTTGAAAGAAAAAAGGCCATAGGATCCCCCTCGCAGGAAATTCGTATGAGCTAGAACATCGGTGTACGACGACGTGCCACAGTTCCCGAGTCATTCCCCGAGTCAAGCACATGGGCAGGGGATCAAAAAGATTTTTGTCAACGTGAGAGGGGCCGGGGATAACCAAGGGGGGATGGGGCGTTGACCATGGGTGTGCTGGACGTGACCTTGACCGTGGAGGCACCTGGGAAGTCGACCGCCAGCAAGGGTGTATGTCCGCGGAAGGTGGCGTGGGGTGTGACAAAGGACCGTGTGTGGCAATGATTTGCTCGAGGGGGAAGGACGGGAGGATGGAGGAGAAGGGTATGCGTGTGCAATAGGACTTGAT